CCTCATTCACTCTCTTTGCAGACAGGATGGAGGTCAACCTTAGCACAGCCAGCTGTCTACAGTTTTTTGGGGGGATTCTGGCTGAGTGGAGCTGGAAAGAAGAAGGGTTTTGTGGTTCTCTGAGATACATTGGTGCTCAGGAGTTCTAACAGCTTGTCCACACTTCTTCAGCAGACAAGGAAGTAAATAGCGAGAAGAGCATTAACGTTACTAAGCACCAATCTCTCTGCCAAGTGATCTGGACCAGACAGTCTTTCAAGTCCCTTCTAAGCCCAGAAGCCATACCAGGGTGACCAGGGCCTGGGGGCACAGGGTGTTTCGGCACAGTTCTGGGGACTGAAAAGAGCACTTTCTGGATCTTGGTTTTCTTGGAGGATTTCTATTGGTCAGCTGGCTCCAGCCTCATTCTTCCTGTCCTGTTCTCACCCTTCCTGACAACCTTAGCCATGCTTTTTTTTATGTCCTCAAGTCAATCTTCTTGCTGCCTGGGATAACTTACCCCTCACTGAAAGAATGGTCCATGCAAACACCCTAAGGCGGGCAAAGAGAAGGCCAACTCCTACATATCTTTGGTCTCAGCTTAGACGTCGCTTGCTCCAGGAGGCCTTCCCTGACGTCTCAGTTTAAAGATGGTTCCCTGCTGTGGGTATTCACCGTCCCTGTGCCTGTCATAACCCTCCCATGACCCAGGTGTACCTGCTTGTTTCACTGTGTTTCTGTAAGACTCGTAAGGGCAGGCATGTGTGTGCCCTGTTCTCCTCTGTGTCCCAGTGACCACCACAAGTCCTGGAAGGAATAAAGAGGCAAAGGGCCAGAGCCCACAGCTGTCTGAGTCTTCTGGAACTTTCTGNCCTGTGCCTGTCATAACCCTCCCATGACCCAGGTGTACCTGCTTGTTTCACTGTGTTTCTGTAAGACTCGTAAGGGCAGGCATGTGTGTGCCCTGTTCTCCTCTGTGTCCCAGTGACCACCACAAGTCCTGGAAGGAATAAAGAGGCAAAGGGCCAGAGCCCACAGCTGTCTGAGTCTTCTGGAACTTTCTGCCTGGTGCCTGTGCCGTACCCCTTCCTAGTTTATGAAGTTCCTCCTGTCCATGTAAGGAGATGAATTTTAAAGCATTTCCTGGTGGAAAATTTTTAATTGCCTCAAAGAAAGTAGCCACCTGTAAAGATGTGTCCAAGTCACTCCTAAACTCCTCTGTCCTTCCAACCACCATCATTTCATATCCTGGTCAAGGCATTACTTCCCATGCCCGGCTGGAACACTTGGGAAGGCTGGACTGGGTCAAGGTCCTGCTTGGCTCCCAATCTCCCCAGAGGAGTGGGAAGGTGGAGGAATCCAGCAGCCCTGGGATCTCAGGAGTTTTGAAGTGCCAAAGTTTCTGCCCATCTGGACATCTTCCTAGGTCTCCCCTTCTCCCCACCCTGGGTTCTCACCGGTACCTGTGTCACCCATTTCCAGGTGCTTATATATTGTCATGACTACCATCAGATTGATAGGGTTGGGGTCCCACCCACATGGCCTGAGGTCCTCTTTCCAGGGTGCCAGGGGCAGGTACCTGCCAGAGATACAGGAGTGGTGGCCAGGAGGGGGGAGGAGAGGAGTCATTCATCAATCGCCAGAGATGCCGATGAATAAAACACTTGTCTTCTCATGAGGCTCACTGTTCCCATCACATCACTGTGAGCCTTTGAATGAATTTTCTTATGCAATCCCTGCCTCAGCTCTGAGAAGAGCTCATATTCATAGGAGCCCCATTTTCCAGATGGGAGTACAAAGGCACAGAGAGATGGAAGCGTTTACCCAAAAGCCACATAGCCAGTAAGTGCCTAAGCCAGCAGGCAGCCTGACTCCAGAGACCCCACATTTGAATTTTTTTGTAAATAGTGGTATAGTTATTGTATGGAGTAGCCTACAATGATGAGAAGAAACAAATACATTGGAATCTATCAACACAAACTGCTCTCAAGTATAATGTTGCAAGATTTGGAAGTACAGTTATAATACTATAGTATTAATATAAAGCTTAAAAACATGTGTAAACAGCACCATACGTTGTTTAAGGATGAACACACATTGGGGAATAGAGGGGAAATGGGTGGAACAGATGTCCATCTTCCCTAAATAAATCTAAAAATTCAATCTGATCCTGATAAAAATACCACATTACTTTTGGAGATGGATTAGTTTAGATTCATTTTAAAAAAGCAGCAGCAGCAGCAGCAATGGGTCGAGAGAGCTAAGCAGAGCCCAGCAAGGCAGAAAGGAGGAGGGGACCCTGTGGCAAGCCCAGGGGGCTGGAGGGGAAAGCCCCCACCGTTTGGAAGGGCAGCCACGTCCGTCCTGGCCCGGGCCCAGAGGGCTGCCGAGGTGCTGCCTTCTCTTGGGAAAAGGGCTCTCTAGGGACTCTTACTCCCCAGGTCTAGCCTTGCTCCCAAGTGACCACACCCTTTTCCAACTCTGAACCCCCAGTGGGGTGAGCCATGGCCAGATGGGACTGTGCCACGTGTCAAGTTGCCAAATGCTAGTGAAATGTGACCCCTTTCTCTGCTGGTTCCTCTGCAGTGGCTTAGATTGCACGGGGATGCAGGGAGATCCCCAAGGCCTTTAAAAGAGGCCAGACCCACGAGGCTCCTTGGAAAGAGTCCAAGGGTCTCCTTGCTAGGAGGCTGGGCTCTTAGTACTGATACTGCTACTGAACAAACCTTCCTTGGTATCACAGAGGGTCCAATTTGGCAGGAAGAATCCCCCCAGGCAGGCTGTCAGGCTAGGAGTGGCAGACTTCTGACTTCTCAATGACTTCTGTCATTGCACCCTGAGGGGGTGAGCCTTGAATTGTTCCAGTGCCATCTGGAGACCAAAGACCTACCTTTGAGATAACTTGGAAACAGAGGCAAACACTCCCTGGAAAGAGAGTCAGCCTCTAGCAATGAGTAAAAGGAATTGATTTATGGTGCAGGAGCGGGAGCCCAGAAGTCCTGAGGCCCAGGCATCAGACAGACATGGAGGCAAGTTCATCGGTAAGAGTGAGATTCAATAAGAAGAGTCTATGCACTCTGCTTTAGGAACAATAGCAGTCATTCATTCAGTCACTTAAGTCAACAAGTATGTATTGAGGGCCTACCATGTGCCAGGGGATATACGTCATTAAACAAAAGAAACGGAGGCTTCCATCCCATGGAACTTACATTCCAGGAGGCTTCCATCCCATGGAACTTACATTCCAGTGGGGTTGGGAGCAGCGGTACAGGTGGTATCCAGGCAACCAAAGGCAGACATACTGAGTAAGCAAATGGTATAGTATGTTAGAGGATGATAGCATTACAGCAAAGAAGAAAAAGAAAAAAATAGAGCAGAGAAAGAGGTGGTGGTGGGATGCAATTTTAAATAGGGCAGGCCTCACTGAGAGCTGACATTTAAACAAAGATCTGAAGGAGTTGAAGGAGTGAATCATGCAGGTATCTGGGGAGACAACATTCCGGGCTGAAAGAATAGTCTGTGCAAACCTCCCAGGGAGAGAGTGCATCTGGCATGTCTGAGGTGCAGCGAGGGGCCAGTGTGGCTGCAGTGGGTCCTCTGAGTGAGATGGGGAGCTTGGGGACATCCTTAACATAGGAGATCCAGGTACCTCTGGCTACTGTGCTGAGAATAGACTGCAGGGGGCAAGAACGGAGGTAAGGAGACCACCCACTAAACCAGGGGAGGGATGATGGTTTCTGAATGTATTTGGAAGACAGTGACGTGAGCTCACCCGACAGATGGAAGTGGGGGTAAGAGAAAGAGGCGTCAAGGATGGCACCCAGGTTTCTGGCCTGAGCAACAGAAGGAAGGGGCTGGCAGAGAATGGGGGTGGAGCCGGTGTGGGGGCGGGTGGGAATCAGGAATTCCAGACTTGGGGGGCTGGAGATGCCTCTTTGACATGTTGAGTGGGCAGCTGGATCTGCAAGTCTGGAGCCTGTGAGAGAAACTTGGGAGTTGTTGGCATATAGATGATATTTAAAGTTGGAAATACATACTATTTGTCAATTATATGTGCAGTGAGCCAGCTGATGGGAACCAAAGCCTTCTAATGTAGTTACTTTTATCATTTTCACTTTGCAGATGTAGAAACTGAGTCAGAGAGAAGTGACTTTCATCTCAAAGTGTCACCACCCATTGATGGTAGAGTTGAAATCAAAACCAGGTTACCTGACTCAGAGTCTTTGCTCCTCACCCCTCAACAGCACAGTGACCCGCTTGCTTTATCTTCTATGGCATGTCATATATGAGAGGTGGATAGACTTTTGTTTGGGGGGCAAATAGTCCAGAGGAGAAGAGGACAGGAATTTGGAAGTAGCAAACCAAGTCATACAGTGAAGGAAGACACTGACCCTCGAAGAAGCTGAATATTGGGGAGCAGTGACGTGAGACTGAATTGGAAGGATGGGCTAGATTGACGGGATGGCTTAAAGACTGGCCTGAAAAATTTTGACCGGATGGGAGTGAAGGTTAATTCTAGGTGTCAACTTGATTAGATTAAGGAATGTGGAGAAACCTGGTAAAGCTCTCTTTAGAGGGCTGGCTGGTTAGCTCACTAGGGAGAGCATGGTGCTGATAACACCAAGGTCACAGGTTCAGATCCCCAGCCAGCTGCCAAAAAAAATAAATAAATTAAGCTATCTCTCTAGGTGTGTCCATGAGGATGTTTCCAGAAGAGATTAGCACAACAGCCTGAGTGGACTGGGTGGGAAAGACCCGCCCTCAATGTGGGCAGGAGCCATCCAATCCACTGGGGGCCTGGAGAGAACAAAACACAGAGAAAAAAGGTGAATCTCTCTCTCTCTCGATCTGCTGGAGCTGGGATACCCTCTTTTCTCCTGTTGTGGACATCAGAGCTCGAGACTCTTCAGCTTTTGGGTTCCAGGACTCACACCAAGGACACCATTGGCTTCCCTGGTTTTGAAGCCTTGGGACTTGGACTGAGCCACCCTACCGGCATCCAGTTTGCCTATCGTGGGACTCTTCTTCACAATCATGTGAGCTTCCTCTAATAAGTCACTTCTCATATATTTATAACATATCCTATTGATTCTGTCTCTCTGGGGAACCCTGACTAATAAA